GATGATGGGGCATTGACTCCATGTGCACATTGAGCTTCATCTCGTTATCCAGGATCTGTACAAGCTGCTGCATGGAAGGGAGGTGACCAGACTCCAGCTTGGACCACACCGGGACATCTAGTGCAGAACACACGCAGGGAGAAAAGCACTGTTAACACTGGGAGCATCAGGAAACACAGGGCTGGTGTCCACATGGAACTGAGGAGCTCTAGGAAGCTGGGTGATCTATATTGAGGAAAACATCTGGATCAACAATGCTTCCAACCTCTGGCTGTGCTAAGCTCCAGCCCAACCAGGAGAGCAGACTGTCTAATGCTTCTGTTTAGAAGTGTATCCTATGGATGGAGAGGTGCAACATATCCACTGACATTCCTTTCAACCTGAAAAATCAGTACTGCTGTCCACTGGTACTGAAAATCTGCAATGGATTTTTCCTTAGGATTCCAAGGCTCTCCTGGTTGGGTCCCTTGGAGTAACTGTTTTGTTTGTTCTCTGTGTGTGATGTGCATTAAGTCAGAAATGATCAGCTCAGACACGAACTCTCCAATAATATGCTTTCCCTGTCCTGTAGTGTGCTTCACCAAGTGTCCCTTTAAGTTTTTACAGAGCTACTCTGACATCTGTATTAACTGCAATATAAGACTTCTATGATTTTCATTATTTATTGAGATAGATGACATCTGCAGATCCAAAGGGCCAGCAATTTCCACACACCACCTTTGCTCACACCATCCCTCGTTCTCCTCGCTCCACAGCTCTCATGTGTGTACATGTGCAACACGAGATCCTGTGAAACAAAGTCTCAGCTCACCATTCAAAGTGATTTCAAAAGCCCCGGTGGACATGCACTGGTTCTCAATCATGTTGCTCAGGAAGAAGACCATCATGCAGGCGTACACCTGGAAGGGAACAGAGACCCACACACACCTCAGCCACACGTGCTGCTGTTCATTCTCAGTGAGCACTGGACATCCATGGGTGTCTCTGAACTCCCTGCGTGGAGGAACTGCTCAAGGAATGTTCCCCTCCACAGACACCTCCCTTCCCTCCTTTCACACAGACCGTGCACCTTGCCTGTCCCAGACAAGCACTGAACCAGCTCTGAACCCCCCAGCTCCAAGCCCTGCTCAAACCAAGGTAAGGTTCCTGCTCCTGCTCCACCCCTGCACTCCTCCAGTCCCATCACAGCTGCAGGGAGCTGGCAGGGTGACACAGGAACACAGCTGTTCCCACACACTGCCTGTCACTGTCACAGCAGCACTGCAGAGCACAGAGCCACAGGCCCAGGCACAAACAGCACAGCGAGGCAAATCAGAGTGCACAGGAACCACAGGAACCACCCTTCAGCACATCTCTGAGCACTTCCTCTGGAATTTTCTGCGTATGGGATGGCATCTCCAGCAGTGCAGCTCCTCCCTCATCACTAGCACCTTTTTAATTCCCTTTCCCTGCTCATGGGCACACTCTGATGGGTCACTGCAACACCACAGACCCCGGCACAGGGACAGTGGCAGTGCACAGCAGCCAGCCTGGCTGGGCATGGTGTTGGATGGAACTATTACAGCTCCTGGGCATTCACACTGGCCAGTGAGAGACCCAGGGCATGGGGCAGCTCAGTCTGAGGGTCTGTAAATCGCCTCAGTTTAGTGGAGTAAATCTGGAATAAGGTTACTCTAAATCAGAGTACAACACCCCATATCTCCTGGCATCATCAGTACTGACTAACAGGGATATTCTCCCACAATGTCATGCCAGAGTCTGCTCTGCAAAACACCCACAACATTTCAACTTCATTTTTCTAAACACCATTTAATTGCTGCCTGATCTATCAGAACTCTGATGGAAACATCAACTGCAAAACAGTTATGAGACAGCAGAGAAGGGAAGCTGCAATTTTAACACCAACAGTACTGGCCTGAAATACTACTCTCGAGCCCTAAAAAATAATAAACTCTTCTATCATCTTTGTCAGCAATGCCAACCTCAGCTGTCCCTCTGCAGCAGCAGCAGCTTGGAAAGAGATGACAGAATCCCACCTGGCTCTGTCAAAAGCCTAAAGCACTGCGTAAGAATTATGCACTGCAAGGCTGCAGTGTATGAAAGATAAATCAGTCACAACTGTGAGGGACTCCCAGAGCACCTGTGAATCACTCTGAAGTAAAAGAATTATGTCCCTTACCTTGTTTTCTTGGCCCCACTGCCAGATGCTTGGAGCTTGCATGCCAAGGAAAGCAAATGGGTCCTTGCCAACGATGATTAAGCCAATTAATACTAGTTTGAAGACAGACAGGAAGGATGCTATGTGCCTGTTGGGGACAACACACACCAGTGACTGAAAGGTTCAGTTTCTACTTCACCATACACAGCTGTAATTCACCTCACTACAAGAATCTTGACAGTACAACCAAACGTTTCAGGGGAAGTACAAAACTTTCCAAGTAAGTTTATCTCGCTGTAAAAAAAAACCAAAAAACAAACCAACAAACCAAAAAAGCAATACACACTAAAAATACCCCCAGCAAGGCACTGCTCTTGTACAGCACCCCAGAAAGACACCTTGAACACCACACATGGATTCTCTTGTTCCTCAGCAGACCTTAAATGAGAATTTATTTTCAACTTAAACATGTCTGAACTGGGAAATAGATTCAGTTTCTGAAAATGTTATTCCATGTTACAGAGATACATTTAATTGATACATTTCCTACAGAACGTTTCCCAGCAAGGCAGAACTCCCCACAGGCAGAGCCAGCTCTCACAGGCACTGTGCCCTGCAGCCTCCATCCCTGCAACCCTGACAGAAATGGGGCCAGCAAGCGCTCCAGGAGCCATCCCAGTAACTATGGCATCACTCTCCAGCGTGGGCACAGTGCTTTAAATAGCAAGAATAACACTATTTTCCTTTTGTCTTTTTCCCAATTTCTCTGGGCTTCCCCCCAGCTGCAGCTGAGGCCACCCTGGCAGCCTGTCCCCTGAGGTGAGCTCTCCATGACTCACATGTCAAAAATGAACTTTTCCCTCCTGTGCCCTTAACCCACTACAGGGATTTGTCACTAAGTGAGCAAGCCCGAGCAACAAATTGAATTTATGTCGCAATACAGCATGAAGAAAAGCTGGGAAAATTCACTGTGGAAAAAAACCCCAGTTACGTAATTTATTTTAGATTGGATACCACAAGCTTCATCATACACATATCCAGATGGTGATATTTGTATGGAAAACTAAGGCAGCTACCTGAAAGGGAAAAAATCACTGAGTGTGCATTCTGCATGCAACCGCAATGGAAAAACCCCTTCAGCTTCCATTTCCAGTATTATTTCAGTGTAAATGCAGGTGTTCAGCACTGGAAAGCAGACAGCCAGTACTGCTGGCCGTTTCTTACCTATAGATAGGTTGAGGAAGGTAGTTCTCCCCTTCGATTCGGATGTCTGGGTACCGCTGGCTGATGACCCGCATGTACTCCTCAAACACCCGCCTGTAGCCTCAGGAGACACTGGACACAGACAGGATTGTCACCACAGCTCGAGGGCTGCACAGCCAGTCACCCCAATCATAACCCCTTCAGGCTACAACCACAGCTCTTATGTCACAAAGAAAAACCGATCTGCAGTGAAAGCACACATCACAACCCCCAGCAGGTGAGCCCTAACGTGACACGGGTTTGCTCCACATCCCAACACTGGCTCTGGTAACACCCAACGGGCACCGAATCACTTGCTTTCCCTGGAAAAAACTGTCAGGACTATGTTAGGAAGTCAACGTAAGCAGACCCTTGCTCTGTGCCAAAAAAACCTTTTCACAGAGAGCCGCCTGAATCTCTCGCTTGTTACACCGCTGGTTACACCGCAATCCCTCTGTGGGACTGCCCAGACAGGCAACGTCGCTCCCAGCCACGCCTGTGTCAGCACGGCCCGGGACCTGCAGGAGTTAAATATTCCCGAGCTGTGCTCCGCCTCGCCTTTCTGCAGCCGCCTCTGTAAAAACTGCGGTGACAATCGCCGCCAAAGACCCCAAACCCAGCATTTTCCACCGAGCGCTCCGGCGGTGCCTCCCAGACCCGCCCGGCCCGGGCTCTGCTCCGGTCGCACCGGGCCCTGCCCGCCCCAGGCCCGGTGGTGACGGGCGCTCGGGGCCTGTTGGGATTTTGTCCCCGCAAACAGACTCCGTGTGCGCCGGGGCCGCCTCAGCCCCGCTCGGAGCCGCTCACAGCCCCGGCAACACCCCCGCAGTGGTGCAGAGGTGCCCGAGCGGCCCGACTGCAACCCGGGCACTGCACCAAAACACACACACAACTGCGGCCTTTACTAAAGCATCGATCCCTCCCAAACGCGAGCCCGCGCCAGCAGAACGCCACGCGTGCCGTCAGTGGGCCCGAAAAGCGCGTTTTCACGGTGGGCGGCCGCATTTTAAGGGGGCCCTACTGGCAGGGCCGCCGTCCGCCAGCCGCTGCCGCCTCCCACGCCCCAGCCGGGCCTGGCGCCCCGGCAGCTCGCCCGGCGCGGGGCGGCTCCCCCGCGGCCCCCGGCACCGCGGGCGGCCCCTCCGGGACGGTGCGAGCGAGCGAGCGAGGCGGCGGCAGCGCTGAGGGAGCGGGAGGAGGGAGGGAGGGGGAAGGCGAAGGCCCGGCGGGCGCCGCCATCTTGGCCGCCGCCATGTTGGCGGGCGCCCCTCACCAGATCTGGAACTTGAGCAGCGGCCCGGTGGCGTAGGCCATGCGCAGCTTCTTGGCCGGCAGCCCGCCCTGCTCCGCCGCCGCGCCGCCGCCCGGCCCCGCCGCCAGCGCCGCCAGCAGCAGCAGCAGCAGCAGCAGCAGCCGCAGCCCCGCCGGTCGCATCTCGCCGCCGCAGCCCGGGCTCCGCGCACCGCCCAGCCCAGGTCACGCGGGCGCGGGGGGCGGGCCCGGGGTGTCCGTGAGGGGAGGCCGTGAGGGGAGGCCGGGAGGGCCCCGGGGAGCGCCGAGCCCCGGCCGTTAAAGGGGCCCTGCGACAGAACACACGCGCTTCTTTACTATTAAATGCTCTTTATTTTTTATCTACATTCCGTTATTGCATAAAGACCGCATCTCTTTTTAAATATAATAAAGCTATCAAATGTTTTCATCGGCTTCCCTCCCCTCACACCCGAACAAGGAAAACCAGTCTATTTTAGGCAATATGCTCCGGAAAAGGAGCACATTTCTGGTTGGAACAGCAGCAGAACTGGCTGATGGATATTCATCACTTTACGGTTTCACAAGTGCACAGATCTTTAGGAAAACTTTTTTTAAAGGCAAATGTGCGTTGCTGTGGACTTTCGCACCCTTAGTTTTTTGCTGAAACGTTTTACTGTGTTCAAGTTAATAATAAACTACATTTTGCATGAACTGCGTGTCAGCGCCACACTGGAGCTCCAGCAAGTTTTAAACACCCAGTTCTAGATCTTCCAGTTCTTTAAGGAGAGCAGCTTCTTTCTGAATCTTCTCTACCTAGAACAAAAAAAAGCATAAGATGTCACAAAGGTAGCTTATTATAAAATTAATCTTGAATAAACTGCACAGATCTTAACCATACCTGATTCTTCTCAAGCTGTTTGCCGGCAGCTGCCTGTTCTTTCAGCTGCTCAATTGCCTTTAGCTTCTGTAAAAAAAATACAAAAAGCCACTCAAACACAAAATATCGGTGAACCAAGAATAAAAAAAAAAGTCTTAGAAGTTGTTGCATTGCAATTGCCTGAGGCATCTGGAGGCAGGTTTCTGTGGAAGGCACATTCCCTTTAAGAATCTCCAGATACTCAATCCAGAATTTCCCACCTACAACAAATATTTCTTTCAAGAACAAAACCTAGAGAGCAGCAGCACTTCCTCCTCTCTGAAACGAACACCGTTCACTGTCTCGCTGAAGGGCTGGATCCAAACTCAGAAATTACTCCATCACTATCTCTCTTCTTCACACATTTTCCTCAGAAAGCCTGGAATGTTAGTCCAGAGACAATAAAAAGCAGAAGGTCGCCAAGAGAAATGTGAGAAGTTCTCTAGCCTGAACTAAACCATTTCTGTTCTGAAATTATTTAATCCAAGAATTCTCAAGACTGGCAGTAAACTTCACACTTGCACCACAAGGCCAATCACCAGGGCACAGTTCCCTTGTTGGACCCAGGACCCAACAACCACGGAGCCCACACAGCTCCTGTCTGAGCACCAACACCTCTCAGTGCAACCTGCCCCTCAGCTGGGGACTGGCTGCACCTCCCCAGCATTCCTAACTGGAGCTGGCACACTCCTCCCTGCAGCTGGCAGTGGTCCTGCACTGCCAGCTCCGATGGGCCCTTCAGGAGCTCTGCCATGCCATGGCCTCCGCTGCTGCACACGCTGGGAAAGCAAAGGAGGTTGGCTACAAATCCAGGACATTAAATGTAAATGCATCCTCCTGAGCCCAGCTCACCTTACCCTCACGCTGCTCTTGAAGACGTCGTTGTCTGTTAGCAAAAAAAAGCCTCACCTTTTTCAAATTCTTTATCTTCTTGTCCACTTCAGGATCTCCTGTGGTGGTGGCAGGCACAGCGTTCCGTGGGGTGTTCTGTGGCGCCGGGGCCTGGGCAGGGCCCTGGTTCCCATCAGCTTTGGCCTCCTGGAGACACAAATGCATGATCCAGAAAATACATTGGATTGCAAAGAGATTGAAAAATGTCTTTAATCACTTTAAGGCATCCATTTAGTATTTCTTCTTTCACTAGTTTGCTGGTGTATTCCAAAATGCGTGCATGACTTGCTCTGATATATTGCATTACCTCTGCATCTCTTTCCAGGGACAAAGGCTTATCTAGAACGACTCACATGCTGTTTCTTGTTGAATTTCTACTTCCTCAAGACACCAACCATATATACAGCAGGTGTCAGCAAGGGTGACATGGTAAACACACACACAAATGTTTTATAAAGCAGACTGGGTCATTGTCTCTGAAGCAAAAGAAAGGGCTCAAAACCAGTGCAAGAAAATTAAAAAATCTTATTTAAAGAAATTATTACTTCAGAGGTTTGTAGAAATTGGAAGGCTAATACCAAAAGCTGACATTTATCTACCTAGTCAAAGAATAGCAAGTCAAGGGGTGACAAACAGCCTGTCTCTGATCTGCCTTGAAAACACACCTCAGCCCTGTCCTGCTGGGGACACATCACAGCACCCGGCCCATTCTGACCTCCCCCAACACCAAACACGCCCTGCAGAAGGTGAAAGGCCAGAATTACTTCATCTCCACACTGATTTCAGCCAACATTCACAGCAACTCCCCAGAGCTGTTACTCTAAGTCATGCTCTCATGCCTGCCTTAGTCTGGCTGAACTCTGCTGCCCTCCCCACACCGCAGCACAGGCGAGACGTGTGGAGGGCTCTCCGTGCACAGGTCACTGCTCTGAGACTGACCAGTGCCCTTTGGGAAAACTAATTAACTAACTAACATTATCCTTGAAAGAACGACTTCTGCAGTACCTGTTTAGCAGCTTTCTTTGCTTCGTGTTTCCTCTGATTTTTGAGAGCTGTTTTGGACAGTGGCTTATCACCACCTCCCAAAGGGGGTTTCATGTTCTGGGGTGGCTCGTCCTCGTGCTGCAGGACACGCAAAATGAAGTTAAAAGCCTGTATTCCAAGGTGGCACAGAAAACCCAAAACCTGCCTGAGACAACATCATTTGCAAAGATGAACCAGAAAGGAAGAAGGAAAAACAAAGAAAGGAAGGGGGGAATAAAGGTATGCATTCCTTGGAGTAGCCAAAGACAAGGGTTTCAAACTCATCCACTCAAGTTTAGATGGGACTACCCTGTGCATCCTAAAAATTTCATAGATTTCTGATAAAATAACAAAATCACGATGCTTTCTATTTTGAGGGGAAAAAAATCCAAGAGGAATAACCCAGCACAAAGTGACTGGAGCTTGGGCATTTTGCTGGTGCTGACAGCTTTTTGACTCAAAACTCCTGGTGACCAGAGAGGAAGGCTGGGTGCTGGGAAGGGAGATGGAGGGTTTTTGGGGGACCATGGGGGATGAGAAGGGAGGGTTGTTCAGTGTTTTAAGGTAACACTTAACTGTGGTGCTGTACTGTTTCAATGCATACAACAAGATTTTTTTGCCCATAAGTAAACAGAATTATTTTTTAATGGGTATTTTCCCTACTCCCTCTGCTCGTGGATGGTTTGTGAGCACAGCTCACAGGCTGAGTCTCCTTCAAAAGCACCAGGCTCAAAATCAAAGCTCTCTGGGACTGAAACACCAAGGGTGCAGTTGTTAAATGGAATCAGCTGCTACTCAGCCTACTTTGAAAACCTGCAGAAAAGAAACTAATTAGACAAGTAGGTCACTGTACTGAAAGGTGTTTAAGCTGCAGCTGACTTTCTAATGATCCAACCTCTTTCTAGCAAACAAACTTACCTTAGGAAAAAAAACCAAAAAAGAGTGGCTATTGGGAGGCCAGTCAACCCCCAGGCTGGCTGGGCTCAGACTGGTCGGTCAGGTCACCTCAGGTCAGAGGCTTCTGTCCCAACCAGAGTGCCCAGTTTCACTGCAAACCACATGTGCAGTTCAGTATTCTAGTGCACACTGCAGAGAGCATTACTAAGGTCTGCAAATGCTTTGTGACAGGACAGTATTTCAGCCAAAGAAACAGGAGTTTTCTAGCACACCTTGCAAAGCGTGAGGAAAGTGCCAAAGAGGGTTAATCCAAATCCCTCCAAAGCCCCTCAGCGCTGCTGTCAGCCCAGTTCCTCTCCTCCTGTTCCTCCTCCAAAACACACCCATACGCGAGGCCAAGCTCCAAACAAAGCCAGAGACACAATTCATTCCCCAGGACACTGCTACTCACGAGCTTGGAGCTGGTGACGGGCTTGTTCCTCAGGGCAGGAGGTCTGTAGGCCTGCGCAGGCTTCGGCTCCGCACCGGGCACCTCGCTGGGCACCGCCTGGTACCTCACCGCCCTCTCCGGGAACACCCCGTCCGGGAAGGGCTGCCAGGACACCTGCCACATCTCCTCGTTGGCTGGCACCTCGTGGGTGTGCAGCACAGAGCCCGTGTAGTGCCACACCTTGTACCCGTTGCCGACCCGCAGCCGAGGGGCACACGTGGCTGTCACGATGTGCTCCCCGTCGGGACACCACGCGAAGTACGTGGAGTCCGAGGCCACGGGCTTGGAAATGAGTTTGTAGTTTTTAACATCCCACACTTCCATCTGCCCCCTGAGGTTCCCAAACCCTGCCAGCACCAGGATGTGTCCGTGGGGGCTGTAGTAGGCGGCGTTGCGAGGCCCGGTGCCAAAATCAAACACAGGGTCACATTTCAGGTTAAAAATTGTGGCTTTGGCAGGCATGAAACCATACACAGCACAGAACTCGAGAGAATTGGGGCTCCAGGCAACATCATAAATAGGGCCGTTTTTTGCTAAAGGAAAAGGAAAAACAGACAACTGTCGGGAGGTTGCATTTTTTCAGTGCAAGCCAAAATAAAATCCATAGCAATTCTTCATGCTTTGCAAAAACGGTGTGATGCAATTATTGACAGTGAAAATTAATTCTGCTAACAACAGAGGGAGAAACAGCCTTTTATCTTCTCATAACTTTAGTTACGGTTTGCAACAATAACTGCAGCCATTCCAAATTACCTCTGTAGGGTCAGCACCAGCACTTTTACAGTAAGCATAGCTTGTCATGTAAAAAAAATCCTTTTTTTTTTTTCCTCAAGTATGACCTCAGGACCTTCTTAAACTGTCCCACTGGAAACCTGCGAAAACAGGAGTTTTATACCAGCTGGATAATAGTTCCTCTTTTTTTAATCTAAGAAATATTGTGTAGCTCAGCCTTGTAGTGGTAAGTAATAGTAACCTAAGTTATCTTTGGACAATGCCCATGCACAATATTTTATAAACCAGATTTTAATGTGAGTGAGCACACAGAAATGGTTTTACACGTAATGATCAAAACTTGGTACTGTTACAAGATATTCTATGGGTTGGAACATTAAGAGATACTGAAGAATGATGAATTAGTGATGAAAATTTGCATAAAATATCCAGGGATAAATACAAACCACAGGCCATTATAACTATTCATAATCTGGATATCTTTACCCATAGTTCAGGTAAATGCCAAGTACATTACTGAATCATTAATCCAGAGTTGACCCAAAATCTGCAAGTGAGTTAAATGGTTCATTCCTGTTGTCACTCTGAAGTCTCATTATCTTTAGAAAGGAGGGTGTATAATCACACTGTCTGTGTGTCCCCCTTCAAAACCTTTTCAGTGACATTGACCCAATGCAGCTCAGAGATAGAAGTGTGACAGAAAATGACATCTGCTGACAGCAGTGGCTGTGAGATGAGGGCAGCTCCACATGGGCTCCACAGCTCAGGCAGAGCCTGCAGCAGCACCACGTCTGAGTCGGGAACCAAATCCCTCTGCAAATGCCAGTGTGAAAAAAAGCCTCAAAATTGGACCTTCAAAAGCCACCAGAAGTCCAGCTCCACAGGGAATGAGGCACCACTCACTCCAAGTATATCAAAGGTAAGATAATACAGCACTTAAAAAAACCCCAAACCACAAACCCCAACATCTCACTCCAGAGGTAAAAAAAAAAAAAAGCGGTGAAGGATTTTTTGCTAAAAGCAGTTGATTGTGTGTTTGAACACCCCTGCCCTGCACTAAGAAGCCCAACAGCTCCCTGGTACTCAGGTACTCACGCAGCTGCACGACGGCGCTCTCCCCGTTGGCCGCGATGTAGTGCAGGGTCTGCTCCCCGTAGTACGATGCCCCCGTTTTGTCCACCTCGGTACTGGCCACCACCAGCACGGCCGTGGCTGGGAACAGACACAGAGAGGGCAGCACAGCTGCTGCAAACCACCCCAGCCACTGCACAGACACAGAGAGTGCAGC